TAACAATGTAACACCCTTTCACCCCGGTTCCACCTTTTCATTTGCCCTGTACGATGGGCGCTGTAAGTGATGAAAATGGGGGATGTTGGCTTATCTGGCGCCCGCAGCTCACAGCCAAAATGCGAGGGAGAGAGGGAGGGTGCACCGGTACCAGCGCTGTTGTTATTATAATCTGGTGCCGTGCTAGCTGCTCTAACGGATATAAGAAGAAGATGTTTCTACAATAATGTGGAGGGAGAGTCCTCTCCAGTCAGACTGAGAGGCTGATACTACAGCTCAGTGAGGTAAGGACTCTTAGTCTAAGTTCAAACGGTTTGGTCACAATTTATGTAAACACATATTTCCAAGGCACTCCTTTATAATTATTGGGATAAACAGGTTTCAAATCATTCCAATGTATACTATAGGACAGTAACCAAAAATATCCTTTAAAACTGGAGATAAAAAAAAATGCATAAATAAATAAATGTTAAGGTAAAATAAGATATGAATGAACAACACACATAAAATAAGTTACATTCATTTGTTATTGGCTATGGTAGATTATTGGTTATGTTCACATACTTATTTGATTACATCCACTTGTCTAAGATGACAACAGACTTTCAACCCAAAACAAGCAGCTAATCACAGACTCAACCAGAGAGAAAGAAGTAGGCCTACATCATCAGCTACCATGTCTGACAGAGAGGAAGACAGTGAGGAGAACAGTCAGGAGGGTAGTGATGACAGCTTGTAGGATTACTGGTCGTGCTAATGTTGTCTTGTCCTAACCTCTGCATGTGTGTTCTGTGTTCACCTCTGCATTTGTGTTCAGCGCGTGTGTCTGGCAAATAAAGTCAAGACCCCCTCAAAAGTTACGGTTTATTTCATTTTAAGGATGAGCACCAAGCAACATCTCCAGGTACTCCTTTGAGAACCAGGGCAAAAAAGTTATGTGCACCCCTGCATATATACCTAAATACAAATATGTGTCTTGTAATTGTACTGTCGAGGAACCTGTGACCTAAGTGTTTCATTTATTGCATAACTACACAGTAGTTGTGCATATAACATGGCAATACATCTTTGAATCTTGAAATCTAAAAGACAATGTAAAATCTAAGTAGAAGTTAGGAGGGCCGAAAAGCCAAATGAAGAAACCTCTCTTATTAATAATCATCCATTAAAGGTCACCTATTATGCAAAATCCACATTTTCACGTCTTTTATACATCAACATGTGTCCCCTCTGTGTAAAGAGATTCTGAAAGTTTCAGGAAAAAAGATTCACTCTCTTTTTGTCCTGATCCATTTAAAACCTGTCTGAAAATGAGCTGATCAGATTTTGGCCACTTGTCATAACGATTTTTTTGGCTTGTGTAACCATTAGCCAATCACCAACCAAGGTACTTTATCGAATGTCTGAGGAAGACTTACAAAAATGTCTGAAAAACACTATGTGCAAATACTGTAAATGAGACATATTTCGTATTTAAATACATAAGTAAATAACTATTTACATTTTAAAATACAGGAAGGATGAACCAGAGAAAGATAATTTTTTGTTTTGTCCACAAGATGGTGCTGTTATGAAAAACCACCAAGTATGCACAGTAACATGTATGTTCCTGTATGTCCATGTATGTTCAGCTTGCATGCATTATAATTGATAATAATAAATGAATAAATATGTGTAGAATAACAGAGTGCACCTTTATGCCACACAGGACCCTCTGAAAGTGACAGACCCAGGTTCAGGTTTCTCCGCAGTACAGAGGAGGCTGTTGCTGCCATCAGAGGCGTGCTTTCTGCAGACCCGCGGTCCATCCACAGGAGGACACGCTGCAGGGACAGGCTCTTCTACTTCATCCTGGACTCAGCTGACATCACCTGCTGGTTCGGACAAGGCTTTGCTGAGGTGCTGCAGGTCCGACCTGTTGAGCAAAATGTTGTCTCAGTGTGAGAAATAATTTGATGAAAGCTTTGTGGCTCGATAGACTAAAAAACCAGCGCTTACTTAGACATTTCCGGTCATTTCTCTACTGACAAATGTGTAAGTGGTAAGTGGAGACCTTTTAATCAGACACATGAAAAGCTGGGAAACATTCAGTTATAAATAAGTTGATTAAATAAAATATTTTTGAAACAGAATTGCCTTTTTATTTGTTGTCCTTGTTCATACTTTCTATTTCTAGAAGGAAGCTACAGCGATGATCTACAAATGACATGAATTGTATTGATTATTTTTCTTTCTTCTTATCAAGTATTGAAGGCCTGCCCACTTCTCTCATGTGTCTTCATGATTTAGAAAATGATTACATTTGTATTTTCGGTCAAGGCTTGTGGAATATGTAAACACATGCACCTGTCGAATATACTTGACTTAGTTACTTACTTAACTTGTTTAGTATTTTTGCTTAAATAAGGGGCAACATTTTCAAAATAGTAATAAAATAATAATTATTAATGATTATAACTAATATATACATTATTCCTTTTTGTAATATGTTAGGAGTAAACTTAAATATACGCAATGGTCAGAGTTATTTTTATATTAAAGAATACAATTGTAAAAAAAACTAAAGAAAGCGTTTCCTGGCAACGAAGGGGAAAGGTGTCAATTTATATGTGTCTAATGTAGTGATCCCAGCTGGGGGCGGTAGTGTGCTATAGTACGCGCTACGCCCAGAAAACCACCGAAGAAGAAAAATGAACCAATAGCAGCGCTGACTTTTATGTTTTGAACGAAACGCGGTTGATGGCTGATCGACGCTAAATGTTTATTTACCGTAGCTTTTGCAACGTTTTGTTGGTGAAAGTTGAAAGGTAATGTGGTTAAACTTGATTTTACATGTCATAGTCCATAGTTTGGTTGGTTTACATTTTTTCGTTAGTTGTCGCTTTGAGGTGTGTGCTAACTAACTTGAGTTGACGTTGCTTACGTTAGCTAGCGTTACGCCCTTGTTTAAATTATTCTTAGCAACACATTATGAGATAATTTAGCGTTACTTCATACATGACAAGTTAAGTTAATATTATGTTGGCAAGGTGTTATTATTGCGTATAATTGTACTCCTAAACATAAAGATACTTCTGGCCAACTGTCTGTGCTCGACACGTATTGTCAGTAACGTTAGCTTCTTAGCTATTGTTAATGTTAGAAACTGACTTTGTCCACCAAACTGTTTAAACAATTGTTTTAAAAGCAAGTTTAATATACAATCATTTGTCTTCATTTGCAGTTGTAAATAAGTCTTCCGGTGCAATGTCATCCAGGAAGAGTTCCAGTGGGGAAGGCTCGGTAAGAGTTTTGTTTTCTTGATCGGCAGTGTTTGTTATTAAAATGTCTGAACAAGCTATAACTAATACAATACTCAGTTTGACTTCCGTTGACCTTTTATTTTGTTATTGTTTGATGCATTCTATACAGTATATAATGTTGCATTGTTGGAGGAGCCTGGGACTTAATATTTTCATTGCCATAACTTTTAACCACCCCAGAAAAACATTACGCATTACATTAATGCACATCAGTAAAATCACATCATAACATTTTAAAATCCTGCACATGTTGCACAGTTCTACTCCACACTACCTCTTTCAAATCGGCACAGCTCTCCACTTTAGATACAGTATATAGTCTGTGTTTTTGAATGCACCACATATACCAAAGCAAATTTCTCGTATGTGTAAACCTACTTGGTAATAAAACCGATTCTGATTCTACATTGTATCTACTGTGCCTATGACATACATTTTAGTCTTCAAGCAGATGTGGAGAGCGTACCCCTATGAGAAGTCTGCAGAATGAAATGCTGCATCTGTCAACTCCATCCTCCAGACTCAAATCAAAACCTCTGACTGATGTTGTGAAACTGACTAAGGTGGGGTTATACTTATATTTGTAAATGCTCCTATTTTTTTGCTGTGTGACTTTTTTCTTACTTTCCATCCATTCTGACCAACAGGGTGATGGCCCTCTCTGTGATCCAGAGCCCCACTTGCAATCTTCTCCATCCACAAAAGGGATTCACATCAATGCTCCCACTACTGATTTAACAACTACTGTGTCAGCTTGTGGTCTTGGAGATGTAACATTTAAATCTTTCATCTGTCCTGGTGGTGAGGTTGAGCTTGCAAGCTCCTTTGTGTGTGCAGAAGATAGTATTTTTCTGCCCAAGGATCAGGCTATGACAACCATTCATGAAACGGAAGATACCATCCTCTCTGACAGTATAGCGGTTCAGTCATGCAGTGACCACATCGAACACGCCTATTACAATCCTGAGGTTATAGATGCTTCCTTGGTTGACAATGAAGCATCGTATCCCTGTGAAATTTCCAACACTAGTCTAACCTCTGGAGACTTGGATGATGGATGTGCTACACAAGATGTCCGAGCTTTTCAGGGTGACTGCTGTGGAAAGAATGATGTAACTTGGAAATCCTTTGTCTGTGATGGCGGTGAGCTGGAAGTGGCTGATGTCACCAGACTACAAGATGCGACCATTCCTCTGCCCAATGACCAGCCAGGGGAACCTTTGCAAGATGACAGTGTGAATTCACCAGATCTCTCTAAGTGTGGCAAGCTGTGTCCTGTAGAACATGCCGATCATTTCTACTTTAGCAGAGAAAACTGCGTTCCTGTCAGCACCACTTTCTCTGAAATAACAAACGGTCCTGCTGATGGACAGAATGATGTAACCTTCAAATCATTTAACTGCACTGGAGGTATGGTTGACATTTGTGATGGCACCAAACTTGCAGAAGAGACTATTCCTCTTCCAGTTAACCAAACAGCTACCGGCAGTGAGTCATACAATTATGGCATGAATCCAAACATGGTAACTTATGAAGAAGATGCCAAAAACAGTAGTGATCATTTAGATCACCCATACTATGATATTGAAAATAACTCATTCAGGGGACCGTTACCTTTCAGCCTTGATGATGTTGATGAAGTAAAACAGGTTAGTTTGGTGGTACCTGATGGTCAGACTGGGAGTCAAGAGGCTATTGTGCATTCTGAGGACAGTGTGTGGCCTTCAATGCTGCATGAAAATCAGTCTTCTGATTGCAGCCATCCTGAGGCTTCTGCAGAGAGACGTACACCCATAGACAGTGAAGAAAAAGACAGTGCTCTCGGTTCATCTGGAACTGAACCAGATAAACCTCAGCTAAAAAACATACCTGAAAGGTTCAGAGTGCGGTTTGAGTCAGGAACATTGCCTTTTCAGTTTGGGATGCTCAGTCCTGTTGTAAAGAGAGCCTCTCTGGCTGTATTGAAGGCCCTCAAGGTTCCTGCTTTGGACCAATTGTTGGCTGAGGATCCAGCCCTTGAGTGTGAAAAGAGCTTGGTTGCTCCATTTGACGTCGACCCTGCTGGGTTTTGGACAGAGCTAATGGAGAGCCCCATGCTGTGTCCTCTGTTTAACTCTACAGTGCTTGGTTGCAAGCCCCAGCCAAAACCAGTCCCTGAACTAGTTAAGGAAATGGATGTAAAGCCTTCTGCTGTGCCTCAGTCTGAAGTAGAGAAGCCAGCTGTGGAATTCCCCCTGATTCTAGACGGTCCCCTTCAGCAGCAGCTTCGGCAGATGGCAGAGTTCCTTTTCTTAGCATCAGGGAAGATGTGTCTTGCTGCTGTCTCTGCTGTCTCTACTCCTGCTGATGCTGTCACAGTCCCATCTGCAAAAGCTACTCCTGCAGAATCCCACGGTGTCTGTGTGGGCACCACTCCTGTTAAATGGTTAGACCACAGCGTTAATACATCTGGCCAATTTGAGAGGAAGAGGATCTTCACTGTGGCTGATTCCTGCACTCTGACTGACCCTATCCTGTGGAAGTAAGTCTTGACGGGATCTGGATAAGTTGCCAATGATTATTGATCATAACACGGATAATTCATAGTTATGTGTTTTCTGTGTCTGCCTCTCACTCTCCCCCTGTTGATATGCTCTCAGCCTCCACCCAGGCAGCCTTGAGGGTCTCTCACGACAAGAGCTGGAGCAGAGGTTAAGGTCAAGCATGATCATGGTGGAGGCTCTTGTGCAGCAGTTGGATGCAGCCAGAGCAAATGGATGTTCTTCTGCAGGCCCTCCACCTTCAGACCTCAGGGAGAAACAAGTGCAGACGGACCACACTGAACTGAGTCAGGTAAGGAACAAAAGGAGATATTTATAGCATTTTGAAGTTGTGCTTTTTGTAGCATGAAATATTTGACTATGACGACATCTGAAGTTTCTTTTACTTCATCCTCAATCTTGGTTATGACTTACTTTTTGTTTTATGTTCCATACAGACAACAATGTTAAGAGACCTATATTTGGAGGCTCTGAACAGGATTGGTGAGTTGGAGTTGGACATGAGTTCTCTACAGGACCTCATCCAGTGTATGCAGGACATGCGGGTCACCATGGTAAGACATAAACAATCACTGTCTAGCACAATTGTAATAACTTTATAGATGAAAGGCGTGTGGTGCAGTGGGTTGTCCGTAGGTGTTGGGATCAGGGGGTCACAGGTTCAAACCCCACTTCAGTCAGCATGTCGTTGTGTCCCTGGGCAAGACACTTCACCCCAAATTGGTCCTGTGGGGATTGCCCACAGTATTGAGTATGTAAGTCGCTTTGGATAAAAGCGTCTAACAAGTAACATGTCATGTAATGTAAAAATGCTCTTACATGGTTAAATAATGCATTGACACACCTGATTTTGCTCTTTAATAACATTGATGTGTGCATTTGTCCCAACAGACTTCTTTGAGTGGTGACACGGATGCCGCTCTCTCTAACATGAAGAAGATGGGAGACGTTGTCAGAGATGACCACCAGAGCCTTGTTTCACATGTATGTAAACGCCTCTTCCCTCATTCTGTGTCAAATCAATTGGGTATTTCTTCGTTGATGTGAATCTTCCTTGTGTTGTTTAGTACGGTCAGATGAAGTCTCTCTTTGAGAAAACAAAGACGACGCAGAAAAAAATGATGCAGAAGGTCAAAGATGCTCTTCACCAAAGAGATGACATGAAGGCACAGATGGAGGAGGCCATCACAGCCAAGGAGGCGGTAAGTGACAAACATCTGTATTATTTATGTGACTTAACCCTCTGAGAGCCACGGGGCCGTAGATCCCAAATATCACGTTATGTTCAAAGGGTCATAACTTCTCAGCTGTTTGAGACATGCCGTGTTTTCCTCTTAAACTACAGAAACGGCACTGAACAATTCTATTGTAGGAGCCAATTAACTGTGGGTATAAAGGTAGGAACCTATGTGTGTTGGTGAGAGGTTCCGCCGGAAGGCCCATACAGTTTTTGATCACACACGGAACACACACACAAGGAGCACACACACGGAACACACACAGAACACACACACAAGGAGCACACACGGAGAACACGCACACACACAAACACGGGATTAAAAACAAAGCAAAAGGTATTGTGTAAACCATAAATATCGTGTGGTGAATGAAACAAAGAAACCAGTAAAAAAGGGAAATAAATGGACTATTTCGAACTGGAAACTTTGTTTCTAACTTTTATTCGGCAGCAAACAAGGTGTGCGTCAATTACACCCACCAAGCGGATCCTCAGAGGCTTAAAGCGTTGGCTTAGCCTCTACATCTATTACGTTTTTCATTGAGAGGCGTTTACTTATTTCGGTGAAACGGATGTGCGTAAAGTTTTAAAAGATGCGGATAGTCTCACCTTGATTCTGGCGCATTGCTTATCGTTTTGTATGTTTTTATAGGTCTATTCTCACCCATCATCTTTGTTTGTGACGTAAAGAGTGTAAGAGTCACGTTTCTGAATCGGACACTCTGAGTGGATGCAGTCACAGCCAATCGGATTCAGAGTCAGTTCCGTTGTTTTGTGTTCTGAAATGAGAGCCGGTATAATTCCACGCGCGAAAACAAAATAAAAGTTGAAATAGGTTATTTTAGTGTTTTGAAAGTAGACTGAGTTATGGCAAGGAAGTTTACTACAGCTGAGGCTTTGGAGCTGATTCTTCAAGGGGACGATGTTGATGAAAATTCAGACGAATCTGATGGCATGCCATGTGTGATTGTGGAAAGGAACTGCCATGATCTATATATATATCATGTGTAGTCTTGACAACAAAATTACAATTCCTGGCAAAACAAACGCCCATGGACACTTCCCAAAAGAATGGGCATAACTAATTAACAGAAGACGTTAGAATCTTCTAATCAGTTCTGATACAATGATAATAAATGTGCGCAATTGTCTGTGTTGAATGTTTTATCAATGTTATGGTTAGCAGTCCTTTTTAATGAAATAAGTAACAAATTAAGCTCCGTTTAAAAAAATAAATTAAATAAAATGTTTATGGGCAAATATCCCATATTATATTGTATATAAGTCTCTGAGTGACATATATCATTAGCTGAGGTTGTGCTGATTTCTGGGATGTGTACAACTTTATTATACTGTAAAGAAATTACAATTTATAAGGCAAAACACAAAAATATACAAAAACGGAAATGTCTTATGTGGGTCTCAGAGGGTTAACTAGTTTAATGCATGTTTGGTCTCTAATACCATGATAGGTTTTCTAATACTTATTCATGTGGCTCTTCTGAAGCATGAGGATTTTATTTTATTTGTGTATTGATAAAGTCCACAATAAACCAGGGCTACATTAGGCTTTTGTTTTGAAAAGACAAGATAAGAAGTCATTTCTGTTCTGATATTAAGTCTGTAGAAAACTGAAACATGAAACTGAATATAATAAAAACAAATTACAGGCCTCTTTAAGCTTTACACATTATGAATCAGAAGTAGTTTTACCATCTCTTAAACTTCCAAGCACATTTTCAACATCTTTATTGGCAGTGATATTTATTTCGTAGCACTCTGTATTCCAGGCGCATTAACCGTGTCTCTGGTTGTTTGTTTCCAGGCCTTCAGTGTGATGGAGCAGCTGAGGTCTCACTGTTCCTCAGAAATCTCCGAGCTGGAGAGGGTTGTGGGGTCTCAGCAAGAACTGTCAGCTGCCCTAAACCAAACTTATCCAGAACAGGTACACAGAGCGGGCAGAAACAAAAAGCTTTATTACAATCTTTTCATCAGAATGTTATTTTATTCCTCTTTATTATTTTTTTCTCTACTATTGCAGGTTGCATTAAACAAGGCCTACAATGAAATGCTCAATTCTGCGTCTGATGTTTTGTCCTCAACCATGGAGGAACATTCCAGTTTGATGCAAGAAGTACGTTTAATATGTCTTTTAAAAGGAGACTCAAATAGGAACTGTTGATGTAACAATACCATCACACAGAATGTTGCTTTTACCAAAGTTCACAATATCTTGCTGTAAAAAAAAGAATATTCAGCTTACTTTTACTCAGCCGTGTTTGTTTCAATTGGAGTTTGATTCCTGAAATGTGCTTACAGTTTAGAAACTGCATTAATGCTCGTAATACTGATACTTTTCCGTGGTCATATTTTTCACAGCTCTCTGCAGTCAGAGGCCTTCTGCAGAAATCTGCTCCGATGCTTCTGATGCTGAATGAGAAGGCAGCTGCTGCTTTGATAGAGAGGGACGAACACTTCTCTGCCAGAGAGCAGGCTGTTGAAGAGCGAGAGCAGGTAAGACGTCATAATAATGAACAACAGGACTCTTACTTTCCTGCAACTCTTTTCTACTCGTCTTAAAAGCACTATGTCTTATGATTTCTGTGAATCAAGGAGATCATTATTTTTAAATGTTTCATGAAATTGTTCTCAACAGATTGAAGACGAATTAAACCAAGCAAACATGAATCTACAAACTGCCAGAGAACAGATTGGTGATTTAAATCTGCAGGTGACGATTCTGACCTCAGGTAAAGACAAGCTATGGTCATTTACACTTGTTCAAATAGTCCATTTAGCTTCTTCCATACCAGCCTTTGACATTTTTGACTTTTCTTTCTCTTCAATTTCAGAAATGGGTGTGTTGCGTCAGAAGCTAACAGAAAGAGAGGATGAGAGGGGTCTGCTGGACAGGCAGGTGACGGAGATGTCGGCCACAGTTTCCTCCACTTTGGCCTCCTACACCTTCCTGGAGCAGGCCCTTGCTTCAGAGAGTACAAAGTAAGATTCCCAGGGTTCTTACGGTCGTTAAAAACCTGGAAAAGTCATGGAAATTCAAAATGCAAATTCCAGGCCCTGGAAAAGTTATGGAAAACAATATTTTTCAAAAGTCATGGAAATGTAACTAAAGTTGCATCAAATATAATTTATATTTTAGCTAATCGCCGAAATAGAAATACTATAATGATAATAAATACTGTATAGTAATGAAACGTAAAATGGCTTAACTGACGAGGTATTTTGCTGGTGAGAGATTTGAGTTGCTTTAGCGTGTAGAAGCTAGTTAGCCTATTTGATTTGTTTTAGATAGGCACGACATGTTTTATATGCAGACCTTATTTCCTGTTCCATGTTAAAATAAACCATTTTCAGTGGTACTGAGTAATTTTTTGGTCATGGAAAATGAGGTAAAAGTCATGGAGAAGTCATTGGTGAAAGTGTATGAACCCTGGATTCCTTTTGTGTGTGCTTAAGAATATAATATTAAACAAAATCTGGAAATGCTAATCAAAAAACGTCATTAAGGGTGAATGTGAAAAAGCAAGAATCGCTGAAGTACAGCTCAGTGCTAAAACATGTTGTTGTTGTTTCAGGTTGCAGCAGTCGTGGAGAGACATCCAGCAAGCCAAGGACAGAGCAAACGGGCAAGTGGTGACAATTATTATTTTTCTACTCGGGGATGACAAAATAACTTTCAGGTTGAAATAGGTTAATGGCTGGATAACATTCTACAATTATAGGATTGTTCAGTTTATCTCTTTTCAAACTTCAGACAAAATCTTCTCACTGACTTTTTGGATGCCTCTTTTAACTTAATGATATGTTAAAGTGTCCACATTCTTTTCAGTTTTCATTGACTCTCTTTTCATAATAAGGGAACTTTCTGCTACGGACAACTTGCCCATATTCATATGCAGCATATAAATAAGCAAATATATTTTTCTAGCCTGTTTCAATTGAGAAAGAAGAATGAAGTAACTTTGTTCTCCAAGGGCAAAATTAATTTCCCTGCCACATCTTAAAAAAAACCTCTTCCAACTAATGCTCACTGCCTGTGTTGTGTGTTGTGTTCAGGTTGGAGGCGTCTCTGGGTCAGTCGGAGCAGCAGGTGTGTGAGTTATCTCAGGCTCTGGCTCAGAGTGAGAAGCAGCTCAGCCAGCTGCAGGTCCTCTCTCAGTCCCAGAGCGTGCAGATCCAGCAGCTCCTGGATGTTTGCACACAGTTCAGTGGTGTGCGGGAGATGAACGAGGTTCGTTTTTCAGATATAAATACTTACACTTGCATTACTTGTATTTATCTTTCTTGCTTTAATTCTCTGAGAAGTCTGTAGCTCAACAAAATATAAATAAGTCTATTATTAGGGCAAATAAGTAATTTAGCTTGAAGCTTCAAAGCTAAAGACATTACGTTCACAGTTAGTCATCTTTAGCCGTTTAGGTTTAATTACCGTCATTTTCTCTGTGTCCATAATGTGTTTGCTCTCCTGATTGCTGCACACAAAGGGAGGCACACACACCTGTATTAACTTAGCGGGAGTGCAGACATTTAGCGGCACTATAAATCACGGATCATAAAATATGAACACAGACCGCTTACTTGGAAATTCTCAATAAAAACTTTACAAATTAAATAATTACATTTGGTACATTCATTTTATTCACCCAGTCTGCACAGTAAAGTGCGTCATCATCATGGTATGCAATTTCAGTTTGATCGTTGCCTGTGTGTGTTTCAGTTCTTACAGATGGAGAATGAGTTGACGAGGGAGCAGATAGCTGAAAGTGAACGGTTGTTGAGTGCCAACCTGCAGGCTCTGCGGCAGAGGAACATCCAGTGTGAGGACCTGAATGGAGAGCTTAGTCAACTTCAGTAAGTTTAAGTTAAAAACACCCATGTCAGTATCATAATCCTATTGAATTCAAACAGTTTAAAAATGCAGCTACAGTGATAAAACATAATGGAGACACGTGAAATTAGATACTCCAATAAATCATCTTTAGAACAGGGCATAGACACTAAACCTAAAGTACTAGCAAATATAAAATAACTTTGATTATTGTTCCTTTTTACTAGTTCTTTAACAAATATGATATGCATTATACTTTATACAGTGTATTGAGTTGTATCTTATCATTAGCTTCTTCATAAGAACTGACATTATAATTCATTCTTGGAAAATTAAGGTAGAAGCAAAATCAAGCAAAGGAAATAATGGCTTGATAGTACATTTGATTAAGATAGAAAATCTTCCCAGTGTGAGTAAACAAGTCTTCAGTCCAACTATGAGCATACAGAAATGTTTAACATTCAGAAAATCTTTCTACAAACTCTTTTAAAGTTGTATAACATTTTCTTTGTATAGTGCATGATAAGTTATCTGTATGTGTGATGCAGGTTTGAGAAGAGGAGCTTGCACGAGGAGCTGGAAACCACAAAGTCCAGAGCCGGTGCCACTCAGCTGGAGCTTAGACGGAAACTGGCAGACGCTGTCACTGAAATAACTTTGCTGCATCACACACTGAGGGGACTGACCAATGAAATACATACTGCTCTCAATGACCAGGTAATGCATACGAAAGGCTAAACACAACCTGAAGCAGATTTTCTGCATTTTCCATACTTCCATGTGAATCCATTCTAATATTAGAGGGGACCTATCATACAGAATGCACTTTTTGATGTCTTTTATACATAAATATGTGTGTCAGGGAACTCACGCAGCATCAGAAAATAAAACTCTCTCTCTTTTCCTCCGTACCCAAATCTCTAAAAACGGGGGTTGTTCTGCCCTCACTGTCGTTATGAGTACAGGTATGCAGACAGATAACTCCTCGACAAGTGGCAAGCGTTTATCTTCTTTAAAGGTGGTGTAGGTAATTTTGGAGAAACCAGCTCGAGTAGCTAGAATTTGAAAATACACAGCCGGAAGAAATCTGCTACTTCCTCACAGAGCCCCTCCTCCAACACACACGAACACGCACATGACCAATGAGGGCTCGAGATAAGTTTGTGCACAGATGGAAGGCTGACAGGCAGGTAGGCCATCCAGTGATTTTAGCCGGGCCGGCTCAAATGATAGATCGTGCTTTTTACAGTACTACGGCTTCCACAGATGCATTTTTTTTAATGGATTTTTTGTCAAAGCACTTTGATTCATTGCTATCGGGATGTTAAAGGTCCCATGTCATGGCCATTTCCACTGATCATAATTCCATTGTTGAGGTCTACTAGAATAGATTTATACTGTGCAATTTTCCAAACTCACATTGGTTTCGCATACAGCATCTCTGTAAAGTATGTGTATTCAGCAGTATTCACTCTCTCCACTAAACGGCTCGTTGCAGCTCTTGCCCCCCCCCTCGCTGTGAGCCCAGTGTGCTCCGATTGGTTGGGACCAGTCGGGACGTTGTGAATCGCGCTGAGCTCCGTGGAGGTGTGATTTCCTTGTTTAGCGATACACAGCCAAACTCATCCTGAGCCCACACAAAGTCACAGCCGAAGTAAAAACAATAAGTGTGGCTTGATATTGAGTAAGAAAAAGGTTGATAAACGCTGAGAGAATGGGTCTGCAGAGAGAATTTCGCCGCGATCCCAACTGTCTGTTATCTGCCTGCAGCCAGGGAGGAGAGATCAGCAGAGCTGCATGCACTGAGTGTGTGAGGAAGTCCGTGGATTGGTCAATTTGGACCAATCAGCGGGGGCTTAACGTAACGGCTCCACGGATTGGTCCATTTCGTTCCGGGTACGGTTGACATCATGCGTACCCGGAAGAATCAAATGGACAATGACGTATCTCCAACGAGGTGTTTTGGGGAGGTATTTTCTGTGTTAGAGTTTTACTCGCTACATGGTGTACTTGAAGGGTTTTGACTCTGCACACCGTTTACATGCATAAAAACCTTCATAACCAGGGGTGCACATAACTTGTTTGCCCTGGTTCTCAAAAGAGCACCTGGAGATGTTGCTTGGTGCTCATCCTTAAAATGAAATAAACCGTAACTTTTGAGGGGGTCTTGACTTTATTTGCCAGACACACGGCACTGAACACACATGCAGAGGTGAACACAGAACACACATGCAGAGGTGAACACAGAACACACATGCAGAGGTGAACACAGAACACACATGCAGAGGTGAACACAAGACAACATTAGCACGACCAGTAATCCTACAAGCTGTCATCACTACCCTCCTGACTGTCAGACATGGTAGCTGATGATGTAGGCCTACTTCTTTCTCTCTGGTTGAGTCTGCGATTAGCTGCTTGCATCCACAAGTCAACAGCTGGTTTTGGGTCGAAAGTCTCTGTTGTCATCTTAGACAAGTGGATGTAATCAAATAAGTATGTGAACATAACCAATAACCTACCATAGCCAATAACAAATGAATGTAACATATTTTATTTGTGTTGTTCATTCATATCTTATTTTACCTTAACATTTATTTATTTATGCATTTTTTTTTATTTCTCCAGTTTTAAAGGATATTTTTGGTTACTGTCCTATAGTATACATTGGAATGATTTCAAACCTGTTTATCCCAATAATTATAAAGGAGTGCCTTGGAAATATGTGTTTACATAAATTGTGACCAAACCGTTTGAACTTAGACTAAAGTGAACTATCTAAACACTCAGAGTCCTTACCTCACTGAGCTGTAGTATCAGCCTCTCAGTCTGACTGGAGAGGACTCTCCCTCCACATTATTGTAGAAACATCTTCTTCTTATATCCGTTAGAGCAGCTAGCACGGCACCATATTCTAATAACAACAGCGCTGGTACCGGTGCACCCTCCCTCTCTCCCTCGCTCACTCGCATTTTGGCTGTGAGCTGCGGGTGCCAGATAAGCCAACATCCCCCATTTTCATCACTTACAGCGCCCATCGTACAGGGCAAATGAAACGTGTAACCGGGGTGAAAAGGGTGTTACATTTACTTAATTATGAATATTGTTACATCAAGGCGGAAAATTAGGATGAGCCCCAACGGTCAAAATAGTTTTTTTCCCTCCCAGAACTGCCAGCGCAGCACCTCCCCAGATCTGGCGCCCTAGGCGAACATCTAGCCAGTGCTACGGGCCGGCCCTGAGTTCATATCATAGTTCATATGCAACTCGCAAATATCTTTCTCTCTCTCTCTCTTCTCTCTCTCTCTCATCTCTCCTCTATTTTCCCTTCTCTCTCTCTCCCTCTCTCCTCTCTCTCTCTCAATGTTGGTACGCAAATGCGCTTTGCTTCAAATGACCTGGTGCTCTTTTTTTGGCGGAGATGCGCACCTGCGCACCAGTTATGTGCAGCCCTGTTCATAACACACAAGGAGACGGGTAATAACCGAAAAAGCATGACATGGGACCTTTAAGAGCATTCCATGGAATATAACAAAAAGTGTATCTCGAGCCGGTTTCTCAAACTTACCTACCCCACCTTTAATAAGATGTTTACATCCACAAGTCAACAGAGTAAAACTGAAAGAAACACAATATACATTGAAATTAGACACTTAGCTGTGATGCAGAAATATATATACAACGGTTAATTATGTCACAAACATCACAAAATATGCATATAAAATGTTTACATGCAAAAGTGCTGTGTAATACACATTACAAAACATGTACTAACCATACATCAAACATCAATGAATAGCAATCTACTTAAACATTGAAACCTCAAAATAATCGTTGATATCCTCTTAAGAATATGTACAAAAGCCAAACATACTTACAAGCAATGCTTTCAACAACATAGCAAAGAAGGATGGATGCAGATTCAAACAATGATATTCTCCTCTCTGTCCCTTTCAACCACGACTCACATGTGGGTATCACTTCCTATTAGTGATGTGTCGGTCGCGAACGAGCCGGCTCTAAGAGCCGGCTCTTTTAAGTGAACGACGGGAGCCGGCTCTCGCCCGCGAACGAGCCGTTTTGTTGTTGTTTTTTTTGCGGAGGGATCTAGATCGGCATGAAGGCACATTGTGCAATGTGCACATTGTCCCGCTTATTACATGGCCACATTCTCAACAAAGTAACGACATGACTCCCAATATTAATTGAAATGCTTTTATGGATTTAGAAAATGATTTTATTGTTTTAAAAAATAGTTTTATGTATTGATTTAAATTGACATGCATCCACTAAGAAAAATAGTCCGTTGTTACTGTTTGAACTAACGTGGCAACGGCAGGAACTGCTTCGATCGTGTTTTTGAGGAGCTTTTTGATTACAGATTTGAAAACATCGTTGCTTGCTTTAAAAGTAGCACAATTCATTATGTCAAACCTTGGAAAGTATCTAGATATGCCCTAATGCCAAAGTAACTGCACACTGAATATGTCGCCGTTTGATGTCTATGTCTGGACCGCTGTGTAAAAAGGAGGGTTTCTGCCCCATTACTTCTCTTCTTACTTCTATAAGAATAAAACACGGAGGACGGAGATCTCTTTTTCTCCCCCTCTTCTGACAGCCCAGCAGCTGATCTCAAAGCACGCTCCCCTCTCCTGCAGGGGGGCGTGGTCAGCTGCAGCATACAGAATCAGCCCCCTGCAAAAACAGCGCTGGAAAGAGGAACTAGAGCGAAATGAGGCATGGCTAAAATGCAGGATCTGTTTGGTATTTTGAAAAAAAAACTATATTTATATAGTTTATATAGGTCGATACAGTAGCCCCTTTTTTGAAATAGTTTTTATAGGTGTTGCTATCTGTTTTGTGTAGCGTGGTTCTACAAGCAAGTCAATGAATTCATTGGGTGGTATCAGAGAGTTACACGGGTCTGTAAATTCAATGAAAACAATTGGCCACAGCAAATCATTTATATTAAACATGTAATTTTTACTTTAGAATACTACCGTACAAAGGATGTATTGAATAATTTAAGTGATATATGTGTACACATATAAATCATTAGTCAAAATAGGGCTACATTTGATTTAATTAAAAGGTATAATATGTGGTAAACTGAAGAGCCGTTTGGGAGCCGAAAGAGCCGGCTCTTCTTGGTGAGCCGAGCCAAATGATCCGGCTCACCAAGAAGAGCCGGAATTCCCATCACTACTTCCTATGTTTTTAATGTAAGTCTTTCCCATTGGCTGGTACTAACAAAAGAAGAAGAAACAAAAAGCAACAGCACCACCTGCTGGCTGGAGTAAGACAGCGTCTTAGACAGCACACTCCCCGCTTGACATCTATGAGATGTCACAATTACATTTTCTTTTGATTGTTCTTATTGTAGCGGCAATAACTCCCTATGAGTTAGCTGCTGAGAGGCTAAAAAATGCTCTTTGCTGTGACGCGTTCCATGTAAGAGTCCGTAGTCATTTGTAGTCCATGGTGTTTAATAAAGACGAAAACAAACAATATACAACTCCAGACCTGACGGTCAACAGAAAGTATCGGAGCAAATTCACCCTCTTCCTACATCATATCCTCCCAACCGGCATCCAACAGGTGACTAAATACCAATAAACCACACCCACGTGACCATTGCCGGAAGTAATAAACAATAAGAATTGCTGTTGTCTTTTGCTCCGGTGATTGGCAAATCTGGGTGATGCCTTCTGATATGA